CACGTTGCTGTCTGAGGCTCTGTTATCCCTGATGCTGCCAGCGCTGTAAAGGCCCTGAAGGTCTGTAGTGTCCTCAGAGCTGTTCTCCGTCTATGTTCTGCCCATCAAAGACTGTTGCAAATAGTTTGTTTCCTTGTTTGTTCTCTCCATACTCCATTCACTCTGGAGTCCTGAATGTTGCCAACAATAATGCTGCTTCCTTCATCTCCCGTGCTTGGAATTGTGCAGTGTGGGTGAGGAAGCTGTTCACAAGTTAATTATGTGAAAAAGTAAGTCTTATTTGATATCCTTAATTTCCAGGGCCATGTAACAGTGGAGGTCAAGCAGTCATCCTTATTCTAATGTCCTCTCCTTGTGTAGCCCTGCAGTACCTGCTGCCAGACACGAGGGGAGACTGAAAGACCTGCTGCCTGGTGAGGTGCTTCCTGATACCTGGGCATGGAGCTGCAGACAGGGACCGTTAGAGCCCCGGTGACTGACTCCCAGTGCCCCCGGTGCTGAGAAGCTTGGGACAGGGCGGAGTGCTTCTCTGGGGCCTGAGGGCAGAAATGGGATGGGGGCAAAAAGTGTGTTTCCCATAGGCAATGTGTCTTGGGCTGGGCTCAGGGCAGCTACCTAGTGGTACCCTGCATGGTCTCCAAGTGAGAGGAGGATGCTTCCATGTGGCCCCGTGCAGGGTGAGGGGCTGGAGAAGCAGGTGACATGGGCAGAGTGGCCCCATGAGGAATGGCTGCTGCAGGCCACACGCCGTTTTCCCATTAGCGAGTGTTTAGTTCAGCGTTTTAAATAATTGTGTCCTCGGAATGATATTTAAAATCCATTTGGGAGGCAATGAGGCGGGAAAGTGCCTGTGCCATTGTGATGACGCTGCGCAGGCCGCGCCACACATGCATATTACAAACTCGTTACAGGCTCGTTTACACACACTGCTCACTCCCCACACAACCTCTTTCTGATGCTCTTAATGTTTCTTCCCCACCATGGCTGCTTCTGCTTGGCACTAGGGAGAAATTTACCTGATAAGTCAGGTCTGGTGTCATCTGGAGCAAGAGACATGGTCACAGCAGTTGGGTGCTGGCATTTGGGATGGGGATGTGTGGGGCATGCTTGGTGATGGGACCGTCTCAGGTGTCCTGTCCTTCACCTGTGCTCAGTGCAGAACTGTGCTTGCTTTCTGACAAGCCCTTGCACTTGTGTTACTGCAGGCTCCAGACCCTGCAGCCCCAAGGCTTTCAGCTGCTGTGCTCCGGGCACAGCTGGGAGAAGAGTTGCAGCACCTGCGCCAGGCTGACTATGAAGCACGTGCTCTTGAATGTCCATGGGAAACTGTGTGAGCTGGAGGGACATGAGGGAGCAGGTGGAGCAGTAGCTTCAGCAGCGGTTCCCCACGTGCTGGTTAGTGGCTGGATGGGAGGGTGGCCTTGCTGCTGTCCCTCTGTCCCCATTCCTCTCTGACTGCTGTGTGGGCATCCTCCGCTGTCCTCCCAACCTGTGCAAAGTAGAAATCCTATGTTGTAGTACAAGGCTCCTGGTACCACTTTATCTTTGTGCTGTTGGCCTTGGTGGTATGAGCAGTATTGAGTCTTCTCCCTTTGTCCTCTCCATTCTGATGATGTTTAGCCCCTTCTAGACAGGGTCCCAGCTGTGGTTTTGCTTGGTGCCACCTTCTGACCAAGTGCTAGTGGGCTGAGGATCAAGCTCCCAGGTGTACTTGAGGGCATGCTGGGTTCTGACATCTGTGTCCCTTGCACGGTGACCTTGCTGGCTGCTTTTCTGAATAGGAAATGGATGGCTCTAGCATCCTCTTCTCAGAAAAGGCTGCTGGGAGAGGCAAAGCTGGAGTAGGGGCAGAAGTTGTCGAATCAGAGGAGGAAGGACGATGTATAAAACATAGGTCCTATCTGTGAATGAGGCAGAAAACAAAGTGCACAGTGTGGGCTCCGGTAACTTACGATGTGTCATGAGGACCTTTTGAAGGCAGCAGCTTTTAATACATCATGCTACTGTATGTGACCAGCTACTGTCTGCATAAAATCGTGGTTTTCAGGGTAGTCTCTGACCTGATAGGGCCATATGCTGCCTCTTTAGGCTTGCAGCTTACACAGGTGACTTTGCCAGTCATCTTTCATGCCAGGTACTCTCCCTAAATCTGTGTTTTGATAGCAGACATGCTTTATCATACACATGAGCATGTGTAAATGGGCACACTTGTGTTACTGTTGGGCCAGAGATTCCAGTCCCAACACCCTTGCTCTGTCCCACATCATGGACAGATTTCCACCTCGTTTCTTTATACCAGTTTGGGAAGCTGCTGTGCAGCTAGGTACCTCAGTTTAGTTTTAACATCTCTCTGCTGTGAGGAGATAGATGGATTTATCTATTCAACCTTGTTCTTGCTTTGTCCTTAATTACTGCTTCTTGTGGGGAAGGTGTGGTCTCTGGAGAGGTACCACCAGTACCATTTTAGCGGGGCTGGGTGGGAAGGGACCCAGTGGTTCTTTGTGCACACTCGAGGGAGTGCCTTCCCAAAAGCCAGTGACAGTCAGCCTCTGACTCTATGCAAACAGGACTTGATCTTCTGAATTCCTTTAATGTCTCTGAGTATGAGGCATTCCAAGGTGTCTCTCATGCTCCGTTATATCATACAAGAAGTACGCTGTAACCTTTCTGATTTCACTCTGTTCATCTTGGCCCCGACACAAGACAGGCATAATCATGAAACAAATAGATGATTTAGTAAGAGATAAAACAAATCTCTTGCGATAAAAGCAGCAATGTTTAGAAGCAGACAAATCACTGGAAGAAAAAAAAGCAACACTTTTTTTTTTTTTTTTTTTTTTTTAAGGATGTGCATCCTCTTCCCTCTGGGCAGCCTTGGGTCACAGGATTGCACGTGATCCCCTTCACTGACCTTTGAGAACCCTTTTCTTTCTCACACAGATCCAAAGCATCTGAGGAAGGACTTGCTGAAGGCCCTGAAATCACTGCAGCCAGAGGACTGGGTGCTGCTGGTCTGTGCCTCAGAAAGGTCCTGTGGCCCTGATATGAAGGTATTATGTGAAACCAGTGAGGAGGAGCCTGCTTTTTTCTCCTCACCCAGACCATGCTGCCCACTATTGAGTGGGCTCAGTAAACTGGATTTGAAGGTAAAGCCTTGTGCCAGTAGCTGGACAACTCCTGGCAGATAACAGTGCTGAGGGGACAGATGGTCCTGACTTCCCTCCTGTGACCTGTCAGGCAGAGCAAGCAAAGGAACTCTTTTGCTGTGGGGCCAGGGCAGATGCCAGAACCCTGGCAAATGTGAAGGAAGGGCTCTGCTGGGAGGAGAGAGTGTGTCTGTGTGTGCGCTTGGTAGTGTTCTGTGGTTTTGGGGTTTTTTGTTGTTGTTGTTACCATGGGAATGGGAGGAAGTCTCCAGTGTAGCTGGTGCAAAGGCAGAAATGCACACCCACTCAGCCCAAGGTCTGTGAAACTGCCTGGGTGTGAGAGCACTGCCTGTTCTCTGCCAGCATCCTGGGTGTGATGGCTAGGGACCTGGCCTCAGCCCAGCAGTAGGGGTGTTCCTCCTAGATGCCGTTCCTGGATGGTTGTAGGGTGCATGACTAGTACTGTGCATGAAGGACTAGGTCTGGATTCTGTGCCCAAGCCCATGGCTCAGGGAAGCATGATGCCATTGGTTCCAGTGGCAGGGGCAGCAGGCAGTGGAAAGACAGGTTGTAGAGAAACTAAGAGCTCTCCTTAGTTTCTCCTTTTCCTCACCTCCAAGAGAATCCAGTCTTCTCTGTACTCCGAGTTCCCCAAGTTGGGGCTGTTGTACTGAGCCCCTTGTCTGTCCAGAGGAGACCGTCTATTTGTGATGCTCTCTCCACCCTTCCTGCCATGGTGTCCTCTCATGGGCTCTCTCCTTCCTCCTGCCCCAGACCTGTTTCTATTGTCTATGCTGTGATCCATAGTTCTTTGCAGCCTTTCTTTAGCCCCTGCAACCTTGTGCTCTCTGCAGGACTGGTAAATGCAGACAGCCCTGGGTAAAAGATGGCTCCAGGCAGTGCAAGAGACAGCAGAAATGAAGGAGGCACACGAGAGAATACTGGCTGAAATCCCCACAGCAGCTAATGAGTTCCTGTTGCCATCGCTGGCACTCACAGCCAGCCCAGCTGGAAGGTTCTCATGTTGGCAGGGACACGGCAATTAACAGGTTAGTTACAGGAGGGTAATTTGAGTGTAAACAAAGTTTAACAGATCCCAAACTTATCTCAAGCTAGCACAACACCCTAGCTAATGGGATCCACACTGTGACCTACAGAGTGAACTGTGATAACTGGAGCAGGGCAGGGGGCTTCAGCATCTCTCGCCCCTCCAAATGTGACCCACTGTGGCTGGAGGGGTGGCTGGCATAGCTGGGCATAGTCCCCTCGGAAGCCTGAAGACACTTGCCAACCTCTTAAGGTTTGCTTGGGAGACTGTTTTCCTTATTGCCAGGAAACTGTGTTCATTTCATACCAGCTGCTTTTCCCAGGGCTTGCCCACGTGCCCTCCTTTGTTCCGCTCAGTGATGTGTAGGTAGCCAGCCTCGCTGCCCTAGTGAAGGTGCTGGGTTCCCCAGAGCAGGGCATGGGGCTTGTGAGAGTCTTTTTGGTCCCTGTGGAATGGCCTGTGGGGAAAGCCTCTGCATTCCGTCTCTTATGACTCCTGAGACAGCTTCTGCTGCAGACCTGTCCCTAGCTAACCCCCACCACAACTGCACCAACCTTGCTCCGTTTCTTTCCAAATGGGAGCACAGTGCAGAGCAGAGACTTCGCAGAGCAAACCACCAATCACATGGGAAGTGTTTCCAGGCTGCCTGCTACCCCTCTCCTGTGCTGAATCTGTGCTCGTGATTGCATCCAGCAGCTGAAAATAAGCTCTTGGAAGGAAGGGAGGTGGTGAAGGGCAGCTGCCAAGCAGGACTATTTATACTGGGTGAGTCAGGCCTGTGCCTGAACCCAGCCAGACATGGGAGCTGGAACCCAGGAGTGACCTGCAAAGGACGTAGCCTTGGATAAGAGGCTCTTGCCTGCAGCAGCTTGTTTACTGTAAGGTTCAGACTCGTCCTGTTTGTTCCCTGTGATGGACTGCACCTTTCCCTTCAGCTCTGCTACACTGCAGCTGGGTGAGGGGCAGCTGGGTCAGTGGAAGTGCTCTCAGCGTATAAGGCCCTGGTACCACCACAGTGAGCACAGCCTGAGCCCAGTTGGCCAGGGATGCCAGAAGAGCCGATTGGAGCCACTGGAGTGCCGGGATCTGCTGGTCCAGAATGCGCTCTTCACTGGGGACCTGGAGATGGTGCAGAAGTACTTCACCAAGAGCGCAGCCATCAATCTCATCATTGAGAACAAGGGTGATCAGCTACGCTGGACTAGCAGGAAATTTGGTGGGTGTTCAGGGCTGGGACATGGAGGGATGGGAGGTTCCCAGAGAAAGAGCACAGATACTTGAGAAAAGTGTGGAGAGGAATCCCCAGTGGTGTAGACAGGGTGGTGGAAGAGGATTTGGGAAGAAAGGCTTTTGGATGAGGAAGGAGGATTCCAGGGCTGTAGAACAAATGGTAGCAGACTTGTTGAAGGTGGCCAAAGGCAGATCTACCAGCAAATGGTGAGAATAGGGCCCTTGGAAGGGCTGCTGGAAGGGAACATCAGGACTGTCCTGTTGGAAATTGCTGGGATAGGTGTGAAATGTGTGTGATGTGGATTGCTTGGGTGAGAAGGCATCAGGTGGTATAAGGATGATTTTCCTGCCTTAGGTCTTAAATTGGATCTGTTACTCCAGTTTATTAGAAACTGGAGGCTGTGACATGCTTTGGGACTAGCAGAGAGCTCTTAGCATTGTCCTTCAGAGGAAGAGGCATGGCTGTGCTGTAGGTAGCTGCTTGGGGACCAAGCCACAATTGCTCTGTATCTACCTGCTGCTATTGTGAAATCCACATGTGAAGCAGAGCCATTGCGATCCCTGCTCCAAACACTGACTTTGAGAAGCTGCAGGGGAATTGATGTGCGAGGGTTTATGGTGGTCAGTTGGAGCGGGGCTTTGCTCCAGAACAAAAGCATTTGGTGTTTTGCTTTATTTCACATGTGGGGTTTGCACCCTGCAAGCTGTTCTATTCTGTAAGGTGGACTGGGCAATGGGAGTAGAAATCTGGTCTACCAGAGAGATGGTGGAAGCACGCCTGTCCTGAGTGACAAGAGGTAGAAGCTGGTCATCCTTGGTGTTTCTTCCCATCTGTACACCTCACTGTACCTTGCCCAGATACATCTTGTGGCTACCACACATGCTTCCACACGATCTGGTCCCTTTTGCTCACCTTCTCTTCAGTGTCATCTATTTTCAGTAAGCAGCATAGCTGTTGTGTTAAAGAGAGAGACGTGCTTAGCAATCTGGAAGTGCACGTGTCCTTGCTGCTGTCTGCTCTTAGTGAGGTGCAGGCAGAATCCTAGAATTTAAGATGGGTGTTGGGTGTGGAGGGGCCATAATTGCACCACTCCCACAGAAGTTTGGTGGCAAAAGTCCCCCTGTGCCAGAATGGAAGAGCTGTTCATGCAGGTCACTTTCCCAGAGGTGTGGGCTCTTTTCAAGTGTCCTGGCACAAAGCAATGGAGCACACTGGTAAAACTTGGCCATGACTGAGTGTTTTGTGGGCATCCACGCTAGCAAGAGGCAAACAGATAGAGTGGACTTGCAGAATCAAGTGCTGCTGCTTGTGGGTGGTGAAGATAAGGGTATAGAACAAAAAACAATCCAAATCTTCATGCTAGCCAAGTCTTTGGTTATGAATCCCACTGGCTTGCAGGGCCAGTTTCTCAAAACTTACCCAGCTGGTGACCTTAAAAGTAGATTCTAGTGACCTGGTCTTTCCCAAGTCATCCATATTGATATTTTAAGAAGCCCAGAGGAAGTGTAAATTGTATAGTGTTACTGACACTTACTCACATAGCCTTTTGCCTCCCTGGCAATGCTTTTGTGATTGGGAACCTCAGGCTCTCGTGGGATACCCGCTTATATCTTCGGGGAAATAGAGGATCCCATCAGGTGAGAGTCTGACAGATGCTTCCCTCTTTTTACCCTTTCATGCACTGCATTGTAGCTAGACAAGGTGGTGAAGTCTGCGCAGACAGAGGATGCTGGAGACTGTCAGTATAGAACTTGGTCATTTATTTTCATTACTGAGAAGGGTAAAGTTCCCTATCTTACACTCTTCTCTGGTCCTCTCGGTAATTGTTGCTTGGTGTTCTATTGGGGTCACTTACCTTGTTTTTAGCTAAAAAATTAAACCTAAACACTACTAGTGTGTGCAGATTGATGTGTTCTTTAGAACATAGGGTCTTAATGAAAGGCACACAATGCTGAGAGACTGTGAGCAAAGTGTGCTGTTCTGAAAACAAAGTAAGGGTAGGATGGGTTTCCACAATGAAGTGGGGACAGGGGAAAATGCCGTCTTGGGTGAAAGGACAGCGGTGAAGAACCCTGAGTGAGGGGACTGTCAGAGAATGGGACAGGGAGTACTAAAACCATGCAGGAGTTTTTTGCAAGGCTGAATTTCAAGGAAAAGTAGGAAGGGACCTACTTTGTTCCTTCTATGCTTTTACTTCACTTGTAATACACCGTTTCCCATCCTTGTGCCTGTTTCTACCTGTCCTTTGGCTTTAAGCTTTGATTAAACAAGCCACAGGAAAGTTATTTTTTTTAAAACCTGTTTAGTGCCAAGGGCTTGGGTGGAACTAGCAAGTGGAGGTGCAGTGCTTGAGATGTGCAAGGAACCAAGGGATGAACAAAGGTGTGCTGGTGATGTGTGGAGGCAGCTGGGTTGTTCTCTTGTGGTCTGGGCAGCAGCTGGGTGACGGCAGGATAGCTGGCCATGAGACTGCTTCCCTCTGTGTTTTCATAGTGATGTCCCATCTCCATTTCTACCCTTCCAGTTACTCTGCCACTCTGCCCTGCTGAGGGGCTTTCCCTTCACAGCCAGGGACTGCAGAGACTCTGCCGCCTGAGAGTAGCGTCCTTACCAGCCTCTTGGCCCAAACGGATGGTCACAAGGCTTCCCAGAATAGAACAGCTGAGACCTGAGCTGTCCCCAACCTGGGCCAAGCAGTGCTGTGACATGTCCTCACTCCCTGCAGAGCTGGGAGGCAGGGCTGGTAAGCAGCACGTCAGACAGAGCGCTGGGCACTGGTGGGGCTGGACCCACAGGCTCAGAGCCCAGCCGGTGAGGTAGCAGCAGGTCCTGCCCTGGTTTCTACAGAGGGTTTGGGTCCTGCATCATGGGCAGCATCACGGGCAGAGGAGACAAGAGTGCAAAGGAGCCCATTTGCACGCAGAAGGTGGATGGCCCTTCCCAGGTCTACTGGCAGGCCCTGCTGAAGGGGGATCGGGGGATTGTGGCCAAGATCCTCAGTGACCCTGAGAACAACCTGAGTCCCAATGCTGTGTTTGACACCAGTGACCTGGAAGAGTGGAAAAACTACCGCTTCAACATCCGCCGGCTGAGTATGCAGGGGGACAGCAGGCAGGCAGCGTGGCACAGCTGAACAGGGGCTCAGAGCTTTTTGCCTACGCTGCAGGGTGTTGCTATTGCTGGGACTGTGTGTTATGGGTGTTGTTGGGGTTGTGGAGGGGTGGGATGTGGGAGTGAGGACACTGGGATGTGACTGGGTTCCCCTGTGCTGCCTGGGAGCGTGAGGTATGACCAGGGTACCTGGCCCTTCTCACAGGGGTTTGTGCAAGTGCTTGGGAACTGCCAGGGTTCCCCATGGGGCAAAGGAGATTCAAGCTCGAGGCTGTGCTCCTTCTGTGACTGGTCTTGTAGCCTGGCTCTGTCTGCCTGTTGTGTCTGTGAGCAGCCTGTGCTGGGCTGCTGGTTCTCTCTGTGGGTTGTGCTGGGCAAGAAATTGTCACAGCCCTGCCTTAGGTCCTCAAGAAGGTTCAGCTTGAACCTGGCCCTGGGCAACACAGTTGACTGCATGCTGCTTCTGCAAGAAAGAGGTGAGAGGGATGTAGTGTGGAACATGTCACAGTCTGGGACATGGTCCTCCAGCCGAGCATGGAAGGGCAGCAAGAAGCATGATTTAAGGAGCCCTTTTCCAGTAACAGCTGCAGGCAACTTGTTTGCTAGCAGACCACACCAGCTCAGCAATGGTTCCAGCTGGGTCAGCATCTTTGAGAGTTGGCAAGTTTCAGCCCCTTGCTCTCTTCTAGGTAGTAGATGTTGATCTCTGTTGAAGCTTGCTTGTCTGCAGCATGCTCAGGGCTGGTATGAATCTCCTGTGTGCATGGCAGCCTACTCCAGCACCTCTCTGTGTTACTGCCTGGTTCCTTGTATTTGCGGTGCTTCATGCATGGTGCTCTTCCCAGCCACCTTGCTGCTTTCAGCCCGGCCTGTGCCCCAGGCCCGTCATCTGCTGTACTCCTGTCAATGGAAAGCCTGTGCTGCAGGTGGAAAGCACGATTTCTGGGAACAGCCTCTGCCCCAAGGCTCCTGCTCCTTTGAGCCCCCTGTCAGCATGGCTGCACAGTCGAGTCATCCCCAGATCTTTGCCTTTGTCAGGCCAGTCCAAAGGCAGGGACTTGCAGAGAAGGGGATGGCAGGAAGAGGCAGTTCCTTGAGGGGAGACCTACGTCTCTCAAGAGGGGATGTGCATCAGGTACCCTGGGGAAAAGGGCAGGTCTGGGCCCATTGCTGTTGTGCACTGTGGCTGGATGTGGCTCCCTGACCTCTCTTTCCTTGCAGGACTGTGGTCTCTGAGCTATGAGCAGGAGCTCACCACGCCGCTGCACATCACAGCCAGCCGGGGCTACACAGACTGCCTGCGGCTCCTGCTGCTCCGTGGTGCCACCGTCGACTTTGCACCCGGGGGTAAGACTGCCCTGCACGAGGCGTGTGCCGCAGCCCGTACGGACTGCGTGCGCCTGCTGCTCAGCTTTGGTGCTGACCCTGAGGCTGTCTCTGAGGATGGCTACAAGCCCCTGCACCTCTGCAAGAGCCCAGACTCCATCGAGTGAGTTCTACCCAGGGGCCACCATGGGCCTCCCTCCCTCTCAAGCCCCATCCTGTGTAGAAGGGGTGGGTTGGTGGTTGCAGCAATGGCTGCTGAATGGGGTGGCCTTACTGCCTGTTCCTGGACCACAATCACCTCTGAAGTCCAACAGATGACTGCAAGCTCTACTCCTCAGCTGATGCAGCTGAGCTTGGTGCTGCTGCCTTGCTGCCCACCAGCAGTGCAGAGCTGATGGTTCACACTGGGAAGCTCAGGGCATGCTCTGTGCCTCTGTGGGTGTGTGGGAGCAGACTCTGGGAGTGATGGCACTTTATTAAAGATCTGTGGAGAGTTAGCTAGAATGAGGATGACAGTTTCTCTGTTCACTAGTCATCCTGGCTTAAAACCACTGCTCCAGGGCATGAGGAGCAGGGATTTTTGGACTCCTGGGGAAAAATGAAAGACTAGAGATGGTGCAGATGTGGGGGTGCAGGGGTGGGAGGTAGGGTAGGAGCTGGAGAAGAGAGCCTGTCACTGAGTCATCTTGGCCCATGTAGGTGTGTCCAGCAGCTGCTGCAGCATGGTGCCAATGTGAACAGTCAGACGGAGGAGGAGAACGACACAGCATTGCACGTAGCAGCACGGCATGGCCTAACAGACCACGTCCAGCTGCTGCTGCGCTCTGGGGCAAAGCTGGAGGCAGAGAATGAGGAGGGGCAGACGCCACTGAATGCTGCCTGTGCTCAGCCTCATCAGCCCCAGGACATGGACCGCTACTACCAGGTCTGCCAGCTGCTGGTGGAGAGCGGTGCCAGCATCAACGCTGCAGACAGGGACCGTCAGCACCCTCTTCACCTGGCCTGCAAGAATGCCAATGCTCAAGTGGTAGAGTTACTGCTGGCCCGGGGTGCAAATGTCAACATCATGAACTACAGCGGCAACACGGCACTGCACAATATCCTGCAAGCAACTGCCTACAAGCTGGAGCACCATCCCGAGCTCGTGGTGCGAGCCCTCCTCAACTACGGTGCCATCCGCATCTGGCCTGGCTCCCTCCTCAAGGTGCGGGGCTCACAGCTGTGCCAGGAGCGTGGTGGGAAGGGAAGGCTGTGGGCATCAGGGCCCCAGCGAGAGCAAGGATGTCTTGTTCTGTGCCAGCCTGCTTGCTGTCCTGCCTATCTCCTTCCAGGGGCTCAGGGAGGGGAATTGGCATGACTGTAAATGATTCCCTGAAGTTTTCTCCTGGGGTATGTTCTCCTGTAGGACTCCCCTGCTTCTGTCTGCTAAGCTCTGTGGACAGTACTTACTTCCCTAATCACTTGCCCTGGAAAATGTTGGCCCTTTTTGCTCCCAGGGGCTTTGTTTCCTCTTCAGGGCATACCCTCCAGCTTATGCTGTCTCTGCAAGACACCAGCAAACAAAGGGTTAATTTCCTGTCTTAATTCCTGAGCAGTGCAATAATTACCCAGCCCGGAGATCAGCAGATTGCTCTCCCCTTTGGGAAAATACAGGAAAATCAACAATTAACACTAATTAATCTCCTATTAACGCCAGATAATGAGGATCACTCCTACAGCCAGAATAGACTCTGACAGCTACTGCTGGCCTGGGCCGTAGGGAGTGGGAGCCAAGAGCCAGGGGCATCTGCCTCTGTGCAGCTATGCATGGGTGGGGTGGGCTCCCAAGGCCATGCTGGTGGTGTAAGATTCTCAGCACCCACATGGACATGGTACACACCAGAGATGTTGCACAACATACACATGATGTCTTCCTGGGGCCCTGTGTAGCAGCTGATATGGGCACAGTGCTTCACAGGACACCCACTGCGCACAGCACAGACACAGGGTGTCTCAGCAGCCCCGTGCCAAACGCACAATAAATCCCCGAGAGCCCTGTGTAGCCCTCAACAGCAGCATGGTGTGTGCCTTAGCCTTGCTGCGTGCAAACTGGGTGTCAGTCCTTGCCCCAGAATGGCTCGTGCGCTAACTAGAAAAACGTGCAGAAAGGAGCCTGGTATAAAGCAGAGTGGTGGTTGCTTACCAGCTACTCACAGCAGTGAGGCAGATGAAGGAGATCTTCATCCCAGCCATGGCTGTTAGTCCTTGCATCCGAGGAGAAGCTGTGGGCACGTAGTGTTTCTGAATGGAACCATGCTGTGCGTGTTGGGTGTTGGCTTGGTCACCCTCTTTGCAGGAGTGGTGCTCTGGCACTTCCCACCATCAGTGAGGTTGGTCTCCTGGAACAGCATAAGGCAAGGACATTAGTTCCCTAGATTTAACTGTGGAGGCTGGTTTTGAGCAGCTTTTTAGGAAGGGAAGGTGGGGCTTGCAGGACCTTGCCCAAAGGTGGTGTTGATCTGCTCTCTCCCTGGCGCAGGTGCTGCGGTACTGCCACACCTGCCCGCGTGTCATCGAGGCCCTGATGAACAGCTACGATCATGTGCGTGTCTCTGAGGACTGGGTGGAAGCGGTTCCAGCAGAGGTTGTACAGGTGAGGGAACGCGTGCTGGTGGCTGGAGAACATGCAGCTGGGCCACGGCAGCTGGGTGTCAGAGGAGGCTTGGGGCTGGGGAGGGGTTGGCGCAGGGCAGGGCTGGGTTTGCAGGACACAGGGATGGTGCTTTTGGGAGGATGCACCATAGTGGCCACTATAAAGGGCTGTCTGGTTCTACCTCTGCTCCCAGGGTGATATCTTCAGCTTTATCTGCCTCTGGTCGTCTCTTCTCTCTCTGTAGAAATACCCACGTTTCTACCAGTCACTTTTCTCCCTGGAGCAAAGACCTCGCTCCTTGCAGCACCTGGCTCGCTACACGCTCAGGACATTCTTGGAGGGACGGTTGCTTCTGGTCCTGTCTCAGCTGCACCTGCCAAGTGCTTTGCACCATTTCCTGCTGCTCGGCTTTGAGGATGTTCTCTACTAAGGGCTGCGGTTCCAGTCCTACTGTGCCTTTCTGTGCAGATGTTCCATCCCTGCCACTTCAGTCTGTGCCTTCCCAGCTAACCCCTTTCCCTTGCACACCTCCTGCCAGGCCACATCAGCCCCCGTGCCAAACCTTTTGCCACGTCCCTGTCCCAGGCAGCCTTGTGCTCTGCCTCATGCACCTGTTTTGGATTTTGCATTCTGTTTTCCTGTACTAATCAGGACAAACTCCAGACTCACTAACAAAAGCAGGATTAGGGCATTTTGTGGGACAAGGAGCAAATACACTGCATCGATCACAGTTCTAGTCATAGGATATCAATCTCTCTATCCCAAATCTACAAACTCTAACCTGAACCAGGCTGCTCTGGTGCCCTGGCATTTGTTGGGATCCTGTCTTCAGTCAAGTTGTTTACAGTTTGTACCCAAAGGTGTTTGGAATAAACCCTTGTCTTTGTACCTGCCAGAGTACAACTTCTGCCTTGACTTGAAGACTGTCCTGACAGAGCTCATCTGTGTGATGGGCCGTGTACAGTGGCATATACAGTCTCAGGCTTGTGCATCCATCCTTGCTTCTCAGAGGACATGGGGAAATGTGTGGTGGGTGTGGGGCTGAGGCCTCCCAAAGAAACATTTCCCATGCAGGTACAGTGTCTGGGGTTGTCTGGCTTTGCAGCTTGGGGCAGAACAGCGGTGCTTGTGCAAGCACTGAGGACTTTGATGTGGGGCGAGGAGAAAGCGTGCCCTGAGAACGCCAGTCCCTGGGGCACAGAGCAGCCCAGCCCTATTGACAGTCCAGCCAGCATCTACCAGAGCACAGGACAGGGCCACACGCTGCTGCCTGGGCTGCACCACACTCCAGACGAGGTAAAGGGCAGCCTTTGTTCCTGTGATTTAAAGACACAGTTGTAAAGAAATCAAAGCACTAACTATCCTGTAAAGATTTGCTGTAAGCTAATGCCATTCCTGCGTCTGACTCAAGGAATGCCTGAACTGGCACAAGGTAGGTGAGAGCAGTGCTGCAGGTTGCTCCTCATGGTGCACTGATCTTTCAAGGTGTCTGTTAACATCCACAAAAGCACCAGGGCACAGGAACGCAGACGTGAAGGCTAAGCAGTTTGACAGACCTGGTGCTTCTGTCTCTTTCTGTCTCTGTCAGGACACAGGGTGTAGCTCTGCTCCCCTAATTATCACCAGCTTACACAACTAGACGACGCTGCTCTGAGGTAGCAAGCTTGAAATAACTATGTGAGGTTCAGTGTGCCATTCCTGTTGTCCTCACACCAGTGACGCACCACAGCATGAATGCTAATGGGATAAAATGGGAATGTATTTACACATTACAGGCTTACAAAAGGTGTCGGGAAACCAGTTGTGGCAGCCTGTGTGTGCAGGCACTACTATTGCAGCATAGAGATGGTGCATCTCAAAAAGGTTTAACAATGTGCTTTATGACATCCATGGGCAGAGAGGTGAGGTGTTGGCTCTAGGTGACATACCAAGACTATCTGCAAAACAGGGATGAAGGGAGCAGGGGAGTCAAAGCTTTTAAAATACTTGGATAATGGCCCACACTCCTACCACGGATCAGTAGTGCATTTCCCTTGAACCAGTGCAGGAACCAGGCTGAAGTCACCATCTTCCTGCTGGCTGAGCTCCCGTGTCTGTTCAGGGTGATGTGTTTATGGGAGCAGGTACCGTAGTCTTGTTCCTAAATTCTGATCACTGCTTTAGAGTGCTGATTTTTAGACAGATCATATCTGTGACTGGAGGAGGAGCAGCAAAAGGAGAGTCTGTCCCTTTTGGTGGCAGCACAATCTGGCGTTGCCTTCGCCCGAATAGATATCTTTGGGATGAAGGCAGTCTGCAGAGCAGTGCATGTGGGGCTGGTGTACCAGTCCTCCTTCTTCCCAGTGCTGTCCATATGCCTGCAATAACGTATGTTCAGTAACGTGCACTCAGCCACTGAGATGAGATCACCTTAAGGGCGGTGAAGGGCTGAGTTTAACGCTTTGCTTTATTTTGTAATTGTTTCTTGCAGCTGTTAGATTTAAAGCAACGCCTCAGGTCTTGCTGATTACTGTTGCTAGTTCTGAAGTCTGCTCTGTGTTTGGGTGATGAGGGCAGCTCAGGTTGAAAGAGGTGAACCTACAGTGTTTTGTTTCTGCAAATACAGGAGCACACAGTGCCACTGCACACATGGGCAGGCCACCTCCTGGCACTGCCAGTTATTCTTTGGGCAAAGGCGTCTTGGCAGAGACAGGCGCTTGTTGTAATGAAGGACCTGCACTGGGACTGCAGGTGAAGGTCCAGGGTTCCTTTCAGAGCCACCAGGTTTGCAGGCAGCGAATCCCAGCATCCGTGGGAGGGCTGAGGTTGGGCAGGTGGCTGAGAGGGACAAGTCATCCCAGGGCACAAGTCCTCATAGACTAGACTTCATCTCTGTTTCCACTGAGATTAAAAGGCCATGATTTCATTCTGTGTAAGGATACCACTGAGTAACCATTTTCAAGAAATGTGGTAGGAAAAGGGAAGTATTTTTTACAGACTGACTGATTTAACTGAGGGGAAAAAACCCAAACAAAACAAACAAACAAACAAACAAAAAAAACACCAGAAAAGTTTTTGGGTGCTCAAGCTCTTTTTCAGAACTGAAACAATCAGAAAAGTTCAAGCTAAGCGCAGGCTGGGAACAAATGCTTTGAGTTTAACTCAGTTATGCTAATCGATTAGCAGTTGGTTTTTAAAAACCTTTACAAGAACAGAATTTAAAAGGTTTGATGTTCCAGAGCACATTTTGTCAATATAACAAGCTGTGCTACTTTTTCTCAGGTTTCTAAAGGGGAAATTTCTAACACAGCATTGAAAGTACTTGCTGGGACAGGTGGTGTGCCAGGGCGATTTAACTGTCCTGAGTGCAAAGGCTGTGGTCTCAACCAAGGACAGCAAGCGTGTCACAACATTAGCACAGGGGCATGTGGTTCTGATGTGTTTTTACCAACTGCCACAGGCACAGGCAGCTGCTGATTGCTATTGTGTCCCAGGTTCGCTGGGAATGTCCATTGGACACATGCTCTTGTTCCTGTTTCAGCATCCACCTGGGGTTTTTGGCAGAGCAGTCAGCAAGAGACGCTCTCGTGACTGGCTGAAGTAATTTGAGTTCACTGCCATGTTCTCAGAGTGGCCATCCAAGTGATGTGCTCAAGGAAAAAAAAAAATCATCCCATTTCTAGACATTTCCATCCCAGCTGCAGCTACTAGGTCTTACTCTGACCCCCTCTGTGCCATCAAAGCATCACCTATTCCAGTGTCCCCTTCCTTTAACTGAGAGGTCAACTGCATTAGTGTCTCCCTGTAGGCTTCCCACCCTCGGATATCTGCTTGACTCTTGCCCGATCTTTCCTGTTCCTCAGTAAAGAGCATGACATGCCATAATGGGTGGACTAGTAACCACAATGGTACTTATAGAAGGGTACAAGGACAAAGTATAGAAAAGGCCTTCCCTAGGATGTCCATCCCCACCCCGAGCTCTGTAAATTGCATCTCAGGTAGTTTTCAGTCAAAGGGGCATCATTGTGTTTAGCAGTCATAGAGCAATTTTGGGTTTTTTTTTTTTTGTTTCCATAAATTTGACCAGTCACTCTTTGGACCCATGTCTGTTTGAGCATTCTGATATCCTTGTGGCAAGGATAACTTAAGTGCACATTGTGTTGATCACCTCCTTTTATTTGTCTTTACGCTGTCACCTTTTTATTTCATTTGATGCCCTTTACCTCTTGTGTTCTACGAGTATGTGGGCAACTATAGTCTGTTCCTCTTCATCATATTACTCAAAATTATCTAGAACCCTGCCATTTCTCTCCTTCCTCAGGCTGGAATTCTATTCAGCTGTGTCATTCCCTGTGTGGAAGCTGTCACCCAACCCTTAACCACAAGCACAGGCTTTCCCTGTCCCTTTACTGATCCAGTGCATCACTTTAAGATGCAGGGAGTACAGTTGTACACAACATTCAAATTGTGGTTGCACTATGATTGTGTAAAAGTTATTCTTAGCCATGTGGATGTGAGATCTACACAAATCCCTCAGGATCCTTACATTCATATTTGACATTACTTGATTATTTACACAGTCCAGGAGGAGCCTTGGCAGCGATGCCCTCCCATTCAGCACATTTTGTCTTCACATGGTGTATGTTGCAACCTCTACATGTTTTTTTCAGACTCATTGCTATCCAGGATGCCATCACTGTTTTAAAATTAAGCCCACAACATTCTTCTTTCCTGTATGTTGCACCTTATATTTAGATGTAACAAGCCAGGTTTTTCATGAACCTGATGGTTCCAGCAATCCAAATTAGGTTGTCTTGGGCAAGTGCCACTTGTTACTTTTACTATCCCAACACTTTTTATCCACTCCAATAACTTTACCAGCAATTGTGTTTTTACTTTCTCCCTGATTGCTAATAACATATAGCACTGATATGTGAATAGAATACAACAAGAAATACACATGTCAAATAGCTATATAGAATAAGTCTTCTGAGTTACCCAGTTCTTTCAAATCTCTTAATACTTATCACACTGACTGTAGCATACAGCTAATTTTTCTTGTTAGGATGTCATGCAGAACTAAGTCAAATGACTTAGAGGAGTCGAAGCATGCCATATCTATCTAGTTAGCTCTATCAAACTTGTAGGCTTACAAAAAAATGCATAAAATTATTTGAAAGTACCTCTTTCAAATGACACTAATTTGAATGACATGAATTTGGGTTCTAGCTTTTACTAATTTACCCAGGACATCCTTTGGCTGCTTGTGTGTGATTGCTTGGGATGTGTGTTGAACTAACTGATCTGTAGTTTCTTGGATATCTACGTGAACATATTTAAATACTGGCAAGACATCGGATCTTTTTTCCCCCAGTTATCTTCAGTTCCCCAGTGTGCCATGATTTGTTATAAAGAAAAAAATCAATTGTTCAGTGAACTCATTAGCCAACT